TACCCTCAAGCGTGGCAGTTCATCTGTTTTTAGTCGTCAACCAGATTGTTACATTTTTAGAAAAACGAGCACATACTTGGCTTAAGGATGATTAAAATGTACCAATTATTGAGGACGATTTTTTTATGAAGGCTTTAAAGTTGGCGGATAATTTCTCTAGCAAATGTTTCTGAATGTATTTAAGTAAATGGGTATAGTGGTTATAATACATATTATAATTCTCAATTGCGTTGTGGAATTAATTGACCATTACTTCAAAAAAACTTCGGGATCTATATAATAATTAGGTGCTTTTTAGGTGCTAATTAGGTGCTCCTCTAGTTTTTGAGAAAATCAAAAAAAACTAAGGGATTGCTAGGTTTATGAAAGCTAGTAGTCCCTGTTTTTGCTTGCCTGAATTTAAAGGTGATACCTTAATTCGTTCTATTTTAAACCAAAATAAAACGCAGAAGAGTGGACTGTATAGAATATTTATTACTGGTTTGACGGATATTTGGCCATTTGGGGCAAAAGAAGAAACTTCTAAACTATTTGATTTACTGAGAAGCAATTCAGATACACTAAAAACTATTTTTCTTTTATTAAATAACTAAATTGTGCGACGTATTTATCGAATTAATTCTTGCTTGAGAGCACGCTTGCAACCCGAGAAGGTCCTTCACCAAGAGGGCGAGGAATGCAGTAAGACGGGTTTCTTCCCCACTACTTTTCGACCCAAAACCGCATTCCTCTAGTGATAGAGAGAGAGAGATACACAGAAAATGCGTAAAATAACACTTTTATCGATCGATAAATGCGTTTGTTTTTAAATGGCAAAAAGGTATAGGCAAAACATTATACAGTCGCCTATAGTGAAAAATATTTTTCCAAAAATTTCTTTTGTATCAGAAGTAGGTGCTTTTTAGGTGCTCCTAAATAGTCGAAGAAAAAATTGAAGCGATTGATTATTAACTGAGTTACAGATTTTTTTTAATTATTAGGGGACTGCTGGCTTTACGTTTACTAGTGGTGTTTCAGAATGGAAAAAAACTTCGAAATCTTTATAATAAATAGGTGCTTTCTAGGTGCTTATCAGGGCCTCTAATCAAAAATTAGGTGCTCCTTTAGTTTTTGAGGAAATCAAAAAAAAACTAAGGGACTGCTAGGTTTATGAAAGCTAGCTGTCCCCTATAAAAAAGAATATTTTTTCAAATTTTTCTTTTGTATCAGAATTAGGTACTTTTTAGATGCTCCTAAATAGTCGAAGAAAAAATAGAATTGATTAAATATTAACTGAGTTACAGATTTTTTTTTCAATTAGTAGGGGACTGCTAGTTTCCATTAACCTAGCAGTCCCTTTGTTTCTTTTTTTTTTTTGATTTTCTCAAAAAATAGAAGAGCACCTAATTTTTAATTAGTAGCCCTAATTAGCACCTAAAAAGCCTCTAATTATTATTATTATATAGACCCCGAATTTTTTTTTCTATTCTGACACATCACCAAGTAAAAGTGAAGCCAACAATTTCCTAATAATGAAAAAAATCTGTAATTCAGTTAATAATTAACTGATTCAAGTTTTCTTCGACTATTTAGGAGCACTTAAATAGCACCTAATTCTGATACAAAAAAAAAATAAAAATTTTTTACTATAGGGGACTGCTAGCATTCATAAACCTAGCAGTCCCTTAGTTTTTCTTGATTTCCTCAAAAAATTAAGGAGCGCCTAATTTTCAATTAGAGGCCCTAATTAGCACCTAAAAAGCACCTAATTATTATATAGATCCCGAAGTTTTTTTGCTATTCTGACACACCAACATGTAAACGTAAAGCCAGCAGTCCCCTAATAATTAAAAAAAAATCTGTAACTCAATTAATAATTAATAAATTCTATTTTTTCTTCGACTATTTAGGAGCACCTAAAAAGCACCTAATTCTGATACAAAAGAAATTTTTGGAAAAATATTTTTCACTATAAGGGACTACTAGCTTTCATAAATCTAGCAATCCCTTAGTTTTTTTTGATTTTCTCAAAAACTAGAGGAGCACCTAATTTTTAATTAGAGGCCCTAATTAGCACCTAAAAAGCACCTAATTATTATATAGATCCCGAAGTTTTTTTGCCATTCTAACAGACCAACAAGTAGACGTAAAGCCAGCAGTCCCCTAATAATTAAAAAAAATTCTGTAACTCAGTTAATAATTAATCATTTCTATTTTTTCTTCGACTATTTAGGAGCACCTAAAAAGCACCTAATTCTGATACAAAAAAAATTTTGGAAAAATATTTTTCACTATAGGGGACTACTAGCTTTCATAAACCTAGCAATCCCTTATTTTTTTTTTATTCTCTCAAAAACTAGAGGAGCACCTAATTTTTAATTAGATGCCCTAATTTGCACCTAAAAAGCACCTAATTATTATATAGATCCCAAAGCTTTTTTGCCATTCTGACACACCAACATGTAAACGTAAAGCCAGCAGTCCCCTAATAATTAAAAAAAAATCTGTAACTCAGTTAATAATCAATCAATTCTATTTTTACTTGGACTATTTAGGAGCACCTAAAAAGCACCTAATTCTGATACAAAGAAGAAATTTGAAAAAAATATTTTTTACTATAGGGGACTGCTAGCTTTTATAAACCTAGCAGTCCCTTTGTCCCTTAGTTTTTTTTGATTTTCTCAAAAACTAAAGGAGCACCTAATTTTTAATTAGAGGCCCTAATTAGCACCTAAAAAGCACCTAATTATTATATAGTTCCCGAAGTTTTTTTCCACCTTGGGACTGCTAGGTTTATAGACCTGGTATTACTTCAGTTAGAAAAAATTAATTAGATAAAGCATCCTATCAAAATGTTGAATTAGTGGAGAAAGCCAGAGTTGACATCACAAATTTGCATTAAATTATCAAGGTCTTAGGTAATTGCAGAAGGGTGAGTATCTTGATCAAAATGGACTTGCGCTGAACATTGGACATACTGCCATAATATGAACTTCCAAATTGATCCATAAGGCGACCTTGGGTTGAAAAGAAGCATGCAGGATATCCAGTAATGCAATATGCATATGAACAACACTGAAATTCAAGACAGAGAAGCTATTTGGAAGATATTGGCAAAGGTAGGGTGTCCACAAAAGTACATCCAGATACTCCGCCTGCTGCATGATAATATGAATGCAACCGTCCTAAGCAGCGATGGACAAGGAAAATCTTTCCAAATAACTACAGGCGGTAAACAGGGCTGTATTATTGCATCCACTTCATTTTCTCTATTTATACGATCGATACTTCGCCTTGTCAAGGTTCACCTTCCATTAGGTATACAAATCCTGTACAGAGTTGATGGCGACTTATTCTACCTGAACAGATTACGTGCCAAGATGAAATTATCGGCGATATCGATAATTGAACTTCAATGCGCGGATGATAACGTCGTGATGATCTTGAGGCAATGGGCCACTTTCACATTTTTCAAAAACATATCTAAAGTATTTTTTTAGTGTACTATACTACACTATAGTATACTATCTGTATAATTTTTTTCAAAAAAAAAAACGCTCATTTTTGAAAATAAAATTATTTAAAAATCGAACTTTTGAATTGCCCAGAAAACGCTGGACCGGCGAGTGACATTACAAACCCGAAAATCATTGAGAATGCGAGGATGCCAAAATTCTCATACATCATCACACAATCACCACCTAGAGACTATTTGCGTCCTTTAGTACGTTAAAAAAAAATAAGGGAAAAAATATCATAATTTGCCATATTCCCGGCAAGTATGAAAGTGGCCCATTATCAATGCATCCAAACAGGCATACAGGAAAATCGGCCGGGAGGTCAACTTCAACAAAACGCACATTCTGCATCAACCCACACCGGGCACTAATTCCTAAGCCCCAAATATAACTACAAATGACCATTCTCTGCTGAATGTAGAACACAGACTACCCATACCTTGCGAGCCATCTGTTAGCGAATGCAACCATTGATGCCGAAATCCAGACATTTGTCTTAACATGGACATAAAAAGCTGGATATAGAACGAGAGAGGCCATTCCATTAAATCTATGACACATTTCAAATAATTTGAAGGCTTGAAAATAGAACCTTCAAATTAAAAATAATCTTCAATTTCTGTTACCGTTTAATATACTGTTCAATATAACCGATGATGCGGATTTTTCTATTGAAAAGGTCATCAAATAGGCACAGGACAAAATCTTGAAGAATCCAATTGAAAGGCCGAGAATGTTTCCTAACTTCATTGTTCTGATTTATATTTAAGAGAAAAAATGTAAGAGCTAAACGGCAAAAGCACAGAAAACTTTTCCCTTGGAACGATAATTTCTATTTTCGAATCCGGTAAACGAAAAACTTGGTATATAAAGGCAATGTTTGCTGTTTCTTTTTGAAAAAAAAGATCTTTCAATTAGGATATTCTAGCTATACATTTGAGGATTGATTGCAGAACCCAAACTGATTTACAAAATAAAATTATATTTGACAAATTATTTTCATAGCAAGGCTCACATTATTTATGCAAAATCTAAAATAGCAACAATGTTCAATTTTACTAAATAAATCTATAGTTTGGTGAGTATTTTTTCAAACCGAATGCAAATAAAATGTTCCAATTTGCAATTAAAATTTAAAGAGTATTAAAGAAAATTCAAAACGGCCAAAACTTTTAAAACCGCCGATATTATGAATGAGGACCAGTTTGAAAGTAATTTCTTATTTTTAGGGATCTGAACGGGATTTATATCTTTTATATGACTTTGAAAGATGGATGTAGTCAAACAAAAAAATTCCCTACGTAGTTTAAACTTTCGGGCTCCGGGAGAAATATTACTGTATAGTTGAGTGCATTCGATAAATCTGTTTTTCGAATTGAAGTAGGTAATTTGTTCTTTGGGGGTTCTTACCCTATAAGAGTAAAAAAGTCCAAAAGTTTTGACAAATTTGTGTGATGATTTTTGAAAAAGCACATCTGCTTAGAGATTTTATAAAATTCTTACCATATTCGTGGCCTGGCAAGTTCCAATAATTTTCAGGATCTGAAAAAAAAAACATTTTATCAAAACTAGTTTCATAAAAAATACTTTGTAATTGGATAACTGGATTGAAAATTTTCCAAGCAGTTTTTATTGGGTAAAATATTTTCTACAAGATTCTACCACAGTGAAATGAGCAAAATTTACGCTCCACAATAAAAATTATAACTTTATAACTATCCGGAGTACCTACTCAACATAAGCGATAAGATATGCAAATTTTAATTTTACCACCGGAGTTTTATTGCTTCTAAAGGCAAATGATTTTCCGGCGAATTTCAGCAACTGTCTGTCCTCCACAATTTAAAACGTTAACTTATCACTCAGCAAAATTACGTTCGGGAAATTAACAGAGACGACAACAAGGGTCTAGATAATATTTATTATATGAAAAAGTTGATACAGGGTTTGGATGCTTACAGTGTTTTGAGAGTTTGAGAGGTATAAGTTTCCTAATTTATGGACCGACACTTCATTTCAGAGCGAGGTATATTGGTGTTGCCAAATAGGAGCTATTATTAATTTAAATCAAAATTAATTTGCAAGAGAAATCGCCCTCTATACATGGCCTTCATAGATTTAGTGAAAGCATTTGATTCGGTTAACAGAGAAGCTCTTTGGAAAATATTGGCAAGAGTACATCCAGATACTCCGCCTGCTGATGCATAATAATACGAATACAACCGTCCTAAGCAACGGAGGACAAGAAGAGCCTTCTGTGTTCTGCGCACCTACTTTTTTTCTATTTATAGGATCCATACTTCACCTTGTCGACGGTCACCAGCTGTCAGGAGTGGTAATCCTGTACAGACTTGACAGCAGCTTATTCAACCTAAACAGATTACGAGCCAAGACGAAAGTATGGACGACATCGATAATTGAACTTCAATATGCGGATGATAACGAGCCCCAAACATAACTATAAATGATCATTCTTTGCAGAACGTAGAATAGCTACCCATACCTTGGGAGCTATCTGTCAGCGAATGCAACAATTGAAGCTGAAATCCAACATCACTTGAAGTGTGCTAGCGCGTCGTTCGTGCGACTTGTAGAGTGATTCTTCAACAATCACGACATCAGCGCTGAGACCAAACACTTGTCTTCGCAACATGGCGAGCAACAACGTCGAAAGGTAAACAATGAGCTAAAAAAGTTGACAAAGTCCAATTTGTCATGTGTTAAAGAAATATTCAAAAAACATCTCGTCAATGTACAAAGAAGGTGAAGAAAACGATGATTTTCACGATGCAGCGAATATAACCATACAAAATGTCACTGTGGACTTACAAACGAAGAAACTTAAAAAAAAACGCGAAAAGGAGAGCTATTCGCAGCCTGAATACAGACAAGAGCATACTAGTCCTGCCTGCGGATAAAGGAAACGCAACGGTAATCATGAATGTGACTGAATCAAAAATTTCCGAACTGCTAGACCCCTCCACCTATAGAAAGCTGAAGCGCAATCCCACTGCTTCTATATTGCGAAAAACCAAACAACTCGTCCGAGCACTACCGTTAGACCCGGAAAACATAAGGAAACTCATCAAATCTGAGGCCTTACCACCTATAATATATGGGATTCCAAAGATTCACAAAATAGGTGACCCACTCAGACCAGTTGTTATTGCGATAGATTCGCCCACATACAGCATAGCCAAATACCTCACCACTCTCCTTCAGCCACGGATTGGCCAATCCAGCTCTAATATTAGAGACTCCACTCATTTTATCAAAAATATTCTGGTTAGTTTTGATGTCGTCTCGCTGTTTACCAAGTTACCAGCGAATCAGTCCTTAAAGTATCTGAAAGATGTTTTTCCGGAGGAAATCAACAACTTATTTCACCACTGTCTTACGACTACGTACTTCCAATGGCAAAATGAATTCTTTGAGCAGACAGATGGAGTTGCAATGGGAAGTACGTTCAGCCCAGTTATCGCCAACTTCTACATGGAACACTTCGAACAAATGGCACTGCGAACGGCCACAAAGAAACCTACTTGTTGGTTTCGCTATGTAGATGACACTTTTGTTGTTTGGAACTATGAACAGAGAGAGCTCGAAAACTTCCTCAATCATCTAAACTCAATAGAACCCAGGATAGAGTTCACGATGGAAGTTGAGAAGGACAACAAAATTGCATTCCTTGATGTCCTCTTAGAAAGATTGCCCTCAGGTAAACTGGGACACAGAGTATATAGAAAGCCGACGCATACGGACAGATACCTCAACAAGCAATCCAATCACCATCCTAGGCAAAAGAGAGGAGTCATTAAAACTGTATCTGACAGGGCAATCCGGTTTTGTGTACCAAGATACCTTCGGGACGAGATGCAACACCTAAAATCAGCACTTGAAGGAAATGGGTACTTTAAGCAGGAGATAAATAGAGCTATAAGACCGAAGCAACAGCGCACAAATAATTAGGAACCAGCACAGGTGGCAGGGAGAGCCTTTCTTCCCTACATCAAAAATGTCACAGATCGCATAGGACAAACGCTAGAAAAACACAACATTAATGGCCGTTTACACCGATTATTTCAAGGAAGCCTTAGCGTTAAGTATTTCTTGAAATGACATTTTTACATGGAGAAACGTCACTTTAAGGAATACTTTTCGTTAAGGCTTCCTTAAAATGGTGGGTCCAGACGGCCGTAAGCCCATCTACAAGCCTACAAGAACAATTCAGCAAAGTCTAAGATCGGCCAAGGATCCTAGGGCACCTCTCGAAACGGCTGGCGTCTATAGAATTTCCTGCTCTTGGGGATCTGTCTATGTAGGAACAACCAAACGCTCTATCAACACCAGGGTCAAATAGCACAAAAGAAACTGTCAGCAGGGACAAATAGATAGAACAGCAATCGCCAAACACGTGTGAACACAAACAAACCATGTCATCCGTTTCGACCAGACTCAAGAATTGAATGGAACCAAACATTTTTACACCAGACTCCACAGAGCAGCCATAGAGATACAGAAACACCACAACTTCAACAGAAAATAAGAAAGCAAGAAACTAAACAAAAGCTGGTTGCCAGTTCTCCGAAAAACAAAGTCCCTTCCTTTCCGAGAATGAGACAAGGAAAATAGCGTAATACAAGCCACGCCCACAACCGCACACAGCGCCTCTGAAGATGCCTACCGCAGCAGTAGACGAAACTTTAGATAGAAATATTAGTCGACCACGGCATTTATAGCCCAGAAAAAACTTTTTAACTAAACTAAAATCTAACCTAGAATTTACCAGTAAGCTTATATTTTCGTATCTAGGATAATAGGGCATCTCCCTTCGGTTAATTAAACCCAACCGTCTTCCAAAAAAGGTTCATGGCTTTCAGGAAAATCGGTGATCACGTCACGTTCGAATAACATTCTGGTGCAAGTTTAACGAATTATTGAAGTACTTGAGGAAAAGGGGCAGTTGGAGGTTGCTGAAATTATCGATTAACTGGTATAGCCAAGTCATTGCTCACCTAACGGGTGGAGCGGTCCAAAGACCTCAACCTTCCCGAACTACAAGGAGCTCGGGATATAAAGTGGAATCCAGTTGGTCACACACAAAAAAAAAAGAAGCCGTTTTAGCACATCGCTGGCAAGTTAACCAAGGACCAGTATGGTTCCAGAATGAGCAATACCCCACAATCACCGATTTTTCAGCAAAACCCCAGAAAAAAAACCCGAATTCAACGCATGGACACCACTTAGCGGAACTAAGTTTGGCAAGGCTATGTATGTCATTAGAAGTTCAATTCTAAATAGCGAACGCCCAAGGAACTCGGAAGAAGGTCGGCCCTTCTACCGTTCTACGCTACGACTTACTTATCGTGTAAAATATTGTATAACCAAGTTCTTTTTTGTTTTTCTAAGTCGAATCTAGGATAATAGCGCATTTTCCTTCGGTTAATTAAACCCAATCGTCTTCTAAAAAAGGTTCATGGGTTTCAGGAAAATCAGTGATCACGTCACGTTTAAATAACATTCGGGTGCAAGTTGAACGAATTATTAAATTATAGGAGGAACCTGAATGTCAACGACGGTTCACCGGTAATTGTTATAATCAGCGATCACGCACCGGGGTCGCCGCATTAATATAAAATAATGGTTTTTAGAAGATGAAAAGGGTAGTCTACAGACCAAGAATTAACCGCGTTAGTTAGTAATAATAGTGTCTTTTAGTTTTGTGATAATTCTTAGTGCCCATGCCCATATCTGAAATGTATTTGTGGTAAGCTCTATTTTAAATAAACTCTTCATTTTTGTACTTGGCTCTAGTTTCGATTCTCCTCACCCGCTCATAATCCCCAGGTCGGCAATATACCAATTAGAAAAGCGAACAGGAGAAGAAAGAGACCTTATAATGCTTTTAAAAAAGGATAATAGTTGTGGAATGAACGCTAACACAGATAAAAATAACTAACAGCGGCCGAAAAAAAAAGATACATTATTATCAAATTCCAACAACCAAAACACCGCATCGGGCTCAAAACAAATAGTTTCACCGACAACAGTAAACGCCGGCCGGGCTTACATACGCGCAAGCAACAATGGATAACTTAATAAATATAAATAGTGATCAACAGAATGGGGTTAAAAAACCCCCCTTCAAACAAAGGCCGACGCCGATAATCGGTGCAAATAGTGCCCAAAATAGTACAGTGAAAAATGTCCCAAAACAAGGGCACCTACATGTTTCCAGGCTTGGGCCTAGTATAACCAGTGACGCGTTGTGTAATTTCTTGAAATCAACAGATTCTGGGATAAGTTTTATTTGCGAAAAATTAGTCGACAAAAATAAAACAACATCTTTTTTCAGGGTAAATTATCCATTATGTGAAATTGAAAAGGTATTAGGCGATTCGAATCAGGTGATAAATTCAAGATCGCAATGTAGCACGAATGTAAACAAACCATTGAGGTTAAACATTGTCTCCATATAAATGTGTGTTATTTCTACCTATCAAAAAACGTTCTCAAACTGATAAAAACCCTTTAGAAATTCA